CTCTCCCAGCAGATCCGGGAGAGGTAAACTGTCAAACTCCTCGGAGTTAGGCGCACATATAGCGGTCACTTCCTCCGAGCGCTCCTGGTACGGCTTCATCATGTTCACATGGAGCATGCGTCGCCCCCCAGTACCAACGCACGAGCTGATTATATAAGTGGTGTCACACCGTTGTTCCACCACCTTATAAGGGCCCTGCCAGGCGGCCTGCAGCTTATCGTGTCGGACAGGTTTTAAGATAAACACCTTCTGCCCGACCTGAAAGCTACGGTCCCTGGCGCCCCGATCATACCATGTGCGCTGGCGTGTCTGAGCCGCCTGCAAATTCTCGCGTACCGTCTGAGTTAAGGCCTCAAGGCGGTCTCGGAATGCCAACACATAGGGTATGATGGGGGTACCGTCAGTGCTCCGTTCTCCCTCTCAATGCTCTCTGATCAAATCTAAAGGCCCTCGTACCCTGCGGCCAAACAATAGTTCAAATGGGGAGAACCCAGTGGATTCCTGCGGCACCTCCCGGTAAGCAAAGAGGAGGTGTGGCAGGAACTTCTCCCAGTCCTTGTGGGTCTCTGCGAAGGTTCGGAGCATTTGTTTCAATGTACCGCTGAAACGTTCGCGGAGCCCATTCGTCTGGGGGTGGTAAGGGGAACTAATGACCGGCTTAATGTCACAAAACTTCCAGAGGCGCTGCGTGACTTTGGCGGTGAACTGGGTGCCCTGATCGGAGACAATCTCCCTGGGGAGTCCCACCCGGGAGAATATCTTCATCAGGGCTTCCGCTACTGTCTCAGCCTGTATATTCGTCAGGCCCACCGCCTCTGGATATCTAGTGGCAAAATCTACTACGGTCAGGATAAATCTTTTACCTGACGGGCTTGCTTGGTTGAGGGGTCCTATTAGGTCAACTGCTACCCTGCTAAAGGGTTCCTCGATTATGGGGAGGGGATGTAACTTGGCCTTGCGCCGGTCCCCCCTTTTCCCCACCCTTTGACAGGTATCGCATGTGTTGCAATACCTGCGCACCTCCTGGCTAATTCCCGGCCAAAAGAAACTTTGGGTTAACCTGTATCGGGTCCTGCTGACCCCTAAATGTCCAGATAGCGGAATGTCATGAGCTATCCGTAGTAACTCCACCCGGTACCGCTGAGGTACCACTAACTGCCTCATCACAATCGGGTCTGACCTGGATACTTGCTTATCCGTCTCCCGATATAACAGCTGGTTGTCCCAAATAAACCTCTCGCCCTCCCCCCCAGGCGTGTCTGCTGTCACCTTGTCCCTATACACCTGCAAGGTGGGGTCAGTCACTACCTCAGCTGCAAATTCGTTAGGAGGGGCCCAGGGAACACAGTCAAGGGAAGGGGAAGGGTCTCTTACCTGAACCTCCGGGAGTGTGTTGTAGTCCTGGGTGCGGGCCTGTTGTCGAGTAACCACAGGGTGAGCTTCTCCTGTGGTGGGTGTCTGGGGCTCAAAAGCAGATGTGAGCCTCCCCAGATCGTTCCCCAATAAAACCTCCGCCGGTAACTGTGGCATCAACCCCACCTCCACATGCCCTGCCCCCGCTCCCCAATGCAAATGTACCCTTGCTGTGGGTAGCCGGTATACTGCTCCCCCGGCTACCCTGACGGCCACAGTCTTACTAAGTTTAGCTTGGTCCGAGACCAGGTGACTTTTTACCAGGGTGATGGTGGCTCCTGAGTCACGTAGCCCCTGAACCGCTTTACCCTCCAGATACAAGGTCTGCCTGTGGTGCTGGCGGTTGTCTGCGTTAGCCTGGACGGGATCTGCCTCGTGCAGTACCTCCCACTGCTCTACGGTTGTGATGGGAACTGCTGAACCATACGGTGTGGCCACGATGTCCTGGTAGTGATGGGCTGTGGCGGCTCTCGGTGGTGGTGGTGGACCGGGTCGGATCCAGGTGGAACGGTCCCGCAACTGGGGGCATTCCCTTTTATAATGTCCCCACTTCTGGCAGTGGTGGCAAGGGCCCGACGTGGGCTGGCGGAAACGTGGCTGTGCAGCGGGTGGTGGTGGTGGTGGTAGTGACCTTGGTAGAGCTGGCGTGTAGTTGGTTCCCCCAAAGGTTTTAAAAGGTACTTTTGGAGCTGCAGGTTTTTGCTGCCTGCGTGCATCCAGGTACTCGTCTGCCTTCCTGGCTGCTTCGGTAAGGGAGGTAGGGTTTCTGTCTCTTACCCACTCCTGTACCTCGCTGGTTACTCCTTCATAAAATTGCTCCAGCAGTACCATTTGCAATACATCCTCCATAGACCGTGCCTTGCTCGCTTGCACCCACCCCAAGACTGCTCGTTGTAGTCTGCATGCCCACTCAGCATGTGAGTCTTTCTCCACCTTCTTTAAATCCCTGAATCTCCGCCGGTATGCTTCTGGTGTTATAGCATACCTGGCCAATATAATTTCTTTCACTTTGTGGTAATTCCGTATTTCATCATTGGTACAGTCCGGTATGCCTCAGCTGCCCTCCCAGTTAACCTCCCTGCCAAAATAGGTACCCAGTCCTCTGCGCTGATTCTATGCAGTGCACACAGTCTCTCGAAATCTTGCAGGAAAGCGTCTATATCTTCCTCTGCCTCCACATATGTTTTAAAAGCCTGGTATGGTATTTTCGGCTTACCTTCATGTGGCATATTTACTGCAGAGCTGCGTTCTGGGGCCGCTGTTTGACTCCTCAGTATAAATTCCTGGACCTCCGTTATCGTTTTGGAAATAATCTCTGTTGGAGGGTGTTCCCCATAGAAAGACAGCCGAAATTGTACCTGCCTCTGGAACTCCCTTTGTTCCGGTGTTTCTCCCGAATTCCCCTGTTCGGGAACCGAATCGCCTTCCATTCGGTACTCCGCCATCAGTTCAGTGATAAGTGCCGCTTTTGTCTTATTGCTGGCTTGGATACCCCTTGCCTCCAGAAGGTCTTTTAGCGTGGAGCGTTTTAGTGTGGCAAAATCAATCTCCATCCGTACTCCATTTAGGCTTGTTCCTCTGTGAGTCTGGATCCCAGCGCTGCCAACCAATGTAGCGGAGATGCAATATTACCCAGGTTATCTCCGCTTATAATCCAAGTGAGACTCAGGAACAAGTAAATAGTAAATCCAAAGGCAGGGTTTCCAGCAGGTAAAATACAGCAATATCCCAACAGCAATCCCAATAACTGGACGACACACAGTTTCAGGAGCATAACTGACAAGCCTTTAATCACAGTCTCCTTATAAAGCATGCTCCCATGCAAGGGAGGGATTTACAGTAATTATTACAGTAGCCAATCCTGTCCTGGTAACCTCCCACACATCCCCTCCCCTCAGCCAGCATCATAATCCCCTTATCCAGCACACCAATTCCCCCCATTTCTGGATGTACCCCTAAACGTAGGGGTACCTCTTTAAATCCTACACCCCCTGATAGCCCTGATCTGGGTGAACAACATATCCAAAAATCACCCAGATCGGACCAGGGGTTCGGGAAAAGTATGGAGGGAATAAAATGACCGACCGCACGAACAGAGATAGCCGAATTCGGTTCCATGTGAATGGGCCTTGCGGTCGGTCCTGGCATAAGGGAATAAAATACACGAAAGCCTCTAGCTATAGAGGCTAGGGAGGGTTCGCCTGAATCCCCTCGTTCGGTATTCTCTATTTACCGAACGAGGGGCCGTTCGGTAGTTTGGAACCGAACGGACCAGGGCTGTGGAGGTCTCAGCGGTGTTCGCCTACTCGAGTGTCCGATTTTAGTTCCAGGCACTCGACGGCAAAACACCGCTGTTCGGGAGTTTTAAAATGGCCGCCGCCACGTGTTCGTTTGTCGAATGGCGGCCACCCCCGAGAACAAAGGACGGCTACTTACTGTTCAATTACCCGTTCGCAACAATGTTGCAACGGGTAATTGAGGACACACTTCACACAGGGAGGTCTGGTTGTTCGGTAGTTTCATTCGAATAAACTAAGGGAATGAAACTACCGAACAATCAGAGGAATACAATTCTTTTTAAATACACAGAAATTACAGCAGATACACGTATGCAGCTTTATACAGTATTTTTGTAGGGTCGCCTGGTGCCATCCGCTACAATATAGTTTATTTAGCATAGTCTGTAAATAGAGATGTCGCGAACTGCTCGCCGAACTGGTTGCGAACTGTCCGCCGGCGAACAATGGCGTGTTCGCGTTGGGCGAACACATGCGATTTACAGTCCGCCCCCTATTCGTCATCATTGAGTACACTTTGACCCGGAACCTCACAGTCAGCAGACACTTCCTGGGAGGGAGGGTCTGCTGCTGATTGGCTGGAATGTGTCTGCTGACTGTGAGGTTCCGGGTCAAAGTGTACTCAATGATGATGAAGAGGGGGCGGACCGGAAATCGCATATGTTCGCCCAACGCGAAGATGCTATTGTTCGTGGGCGGACAGTTCGCGAACAGTTTGGCGAGCAGTTCGCGACATCTCTATCTGTAAATACTACATATACCGGCCTCAAACATTGGGTAGTTCTGGGCACAATTATATGGATCATGCCTTCATGAATTCTTGTACACGTATCAGTTATGCTCTCAAGATGTACCCCCACTAAAATCAATGGGCACCCAATCTGTTACTACTTTACCTCATGCTGCGAGTGCAATTTGGAATAAAGGGGGCTCATGGGATTAGAAAACATTTACAGTAATTTCCTGTAAATACATAGTTACCCATGAAGGGTGGCCAGTGATATGCTGAGAGAGTCAGATGACACTTGCGTCCTTCCTGATGAGTTTGGTGGCTAGGAAGGGAGGATGGGTGCCTGGGAGCCCAGCCCCCATAATGACTTCATTAAGGCTACGTTGTTATGGAGCTGGAGAGGCCTTTTAAACATTCATCCAAAAGTGATTTTAATTGGAACAGTCATGCCCCAAGCTACTTATGCTCTTTTGGAAGAGCATGGAATATCATACAGATTTTGCAGGCCAATGTAGAGATTGGAAGAAAAAAAATAAAAAAAATTTAAAAATAAGCCTTCCCCCCACTTTTCAGTCAGATTTTTGGTACAACCTATGTGTCTATGATGTGACTAACAACAGAGCGTAGAAAAGACCTACCGCAGGCAGTCCTGGTGCTCCCCAAACATAGCAACCACAGCGTATGCACTGTGGTTGCTGTGGAAACTCTCTAGCTGATGCTGCTATGGCTGGCTAGAGAGTATAAAAACTGTTCAGAAGATTGCATGCTGGGAACGAAGGCCGTGTGTCGGCATCATACTGGAGGTTTGTCCTGCTTGGGTAAGTCTGAGCAAGCAGGTCAAATCACACAAGACAGCAGGCAGACAGAGATACTTCACTGTACATGAAGAGGTGGAATGGGAGTAAGGAGAGTATAACTCAATCCTATACATTGAATATATCATGTATCTTTGTGATATATATTGTACTTAATGAATATAGGTCAATTTAACCCCTTAAGGACAAGACATGTGTGACATGTCATGGTTCCCTTTTATTCCAGAAGTTTGGTCCTTAAGGGATTAAGGCAAGTTAAATCCTTCTTAACAGTTTAACTTCACTGTAATTATTATTCCTCCTTATTATTCCACCTTCAAAGAGAGAAGAGAGATGAATAGCCCAGGGTAGATAAGACGATAAGTAGACATTTGAAGAAAAGAAAAAAAGACATTAGAAAGCATAAAAGCAGAGTTTGAACAGTCTCCAAATAATTTATTGCACAATTTTCTAATTAAAGATGCAAAGTACTTTAAGTTTCCCAAAAATTTTGTAATAGAGCAAATATATGAACAGCATATAACGTATTCCCACAAATAGAATGTGTTTTATGCTGCATTTATTTAAAATAAATGATAACGTCCACTTTAAATACAAATTTTAATTTTTTCAGAATACTCATAAATCACAAACTAATGACATTATTACTAAATATGTTATTTTAAGTATTTTTTTGAAGTGTTCCAAAAAGTGTTAATTTCATACTTTCACTGGCAAAATACACATCGATCCCTTTAATAGAATTATACTATCTATGGGCTTTATAGATTTAGTGTCGATTTATGAATCGGCACAAAAATGTAATAAACAAATGGTAAATTCAATTTCTCATTACTAATATACACTTCACAGCGATCATATGCAACATTTATATAGTACACAAAAATCATCTCTTAACCCCTATGGCATCCATGTCATGTACACCAACCATGAGACAAAAAAAAATAGTTTGTATACCACATACATAGATTTTAGAATTTATTACCATACCAACTGGTATTTATTTACATAATCTGTTTTGGAATAATAATTTCTAACAGGAGAAAAATAGGAATAAATTATATTACCTCTAATTCGCTAACAATTTTATAAAAATTAGATAAATTATTCACTAAATTGCTAGAACTACTGAATTTGGATAGCAGCAACCAGTTTCTCTTAGTTCAAGGGAATAAATCCAAATCATTTTGTGTATTTATCTGAACACAGTTTGCTAGAAATGTATTACATATGGATCGTTCTATCCTCGGATATGTTCTCTCAGCAATGTACTTAACATAATACCAATGATTGCATTTTGGCATGTGCTGTTATTTGCAATTCTGGGCTAAAGCTTTCAGGTGCTTCATTCAGTGTTTATGATTAGAGGCTTAGTCACTTATCGATTGGCTTAGGATTCTTCCAGTTCCACAAGGACTCCATCACAATCTTTTGGGTGCAGAAACACAACTGGTTTCCCATGTGCACCGATCTTGGGCTCATCACTCAGAATTCTAATATTCTTCTTTTTCAGGTCAGCCATTGCGCTTTTGATATCATCAACCTGCGAGGTACACAAAAAACAAACAAATACAAATTACCATACAGCTGGCAACTATAGATCTAACATAGCAATCCTCATTTCAGCTGATATACCATTGACAACTAGCCTGAGATTATGAGATCTCTAATGCCTACCTTGCTTGGTGCAGCAGCCGGCTTTCAACACAATGACAACCTAAGAAAGAATTCTAAGGTAACAAAATGCTCACTACAGACTGATTTCTTTTCTAGACAGGGGACAGACATAGAATAATTATTCCTTCTCCATGTGAAGTCCTTACATGCATGTTAATGATATATAGGGTTTACACCTGGCTAAGACGTCTGCTATGGTTACGGTAATGCACAACCAAACATTCCGAAATAATAGCCCACAACAACTGGAGTGAGATCACTATACCCTCATTGCTCTATATAATGCTTCCATGCCAACTTGGCCACTGTGGAAATAACCCTGCTTTTTTTCCCTGACATTTCAGCCTGAATTGCATTATTTTATTGAGCCCTCTATTCATCTACTCAGTTTTTAGGAAATTTCCATTCTAATAGGTGATACTGATAAAGCCAATGAATCACTGAGACGTGCTTTATTAAACAGTATATGGGCAACAGTTTGCATTAAGCCATGTGATCCTTCTGTTATAAAGAGGGTTAAGTCATAGAAATAAAACCCTCATAACAGGTCAGCTAAGAAGTTAGCTGGAAGAATACTTATTTGAGCGTCACAATGAAACGTTCTGTACTATTTAGCTTGATGTTGATTTACAAGGCTTCATACTGTTAACAAAATCAATTATGCTTCTTAGAAAAATCAATTACGAACCTCATTTGTATTTTAAGCTACCAGAGAGAATGTATTAACCAGAATAACAGAAAACTTTCAAATAAACTGAGCACATTTTCAGAAAACAATCCCCCCCAAAAAATACTAAAACAGAAAATATTGCAAGAGGAATCCAAATTTGAATCCCAGTGGGTTCTGCCAAGTCACTGATTTGAAAGTCGCTCATTTACTGAGCTGGTCCCACGCAGCTTTTGGGAACCAGCCAGATCTTGTTATTCTACTGGAAAAAGGACAGCTTCTGCATTTCACACTAACCTACATAACTGCATGCTCATTCTCTGACAAAAAAACATAAAAGGGAGAAGGCCCCCTTCCTTCTCTGCATCTCTGATTAACTCAGAGCTCGCTGCTAAAGAAACCAGAGAACACAAAATGCTGAATGTATATTTATTTATTTTTAATTTATTTTTTTCTTTAACCCCTTAAGGACCAAAATTCTGGAATAAAAGGGAATCATGCATGTGTCCTTAAGGGGTTAAAAGCCTGTTCAACTAATGAACATGTGAATATGAGCGCCCATCTCGCCTTAAAAGGACCACTCTAGGCACCCAGACCACTTCAGCTTAATGAAGTGGTCTGGGTGCCTGGTCCTTCTAGGGTTAACCCATTTTTTCATAAACATAGCAGTTTCAGAGAAACTGCTATGTTTATGAATGGGTTAAGCCTTCCCCTAATCCTCTAGTGGCTGTCTCATTGACAGCCACTAGAGGCGCTTGCGTGCTTCTCACTGTGATTTTCACAGTGAGAGCACGCCAGCGTCCATAGGAAAGCATTGAGAATGCTTTCCTATGTGACCGGCTGAATGCATGCGCGCGCGCATTCAGCCGACGGGGAGGAGAAGAGGAGGAACGGAGGAGGAGAGCTCTCCGCCCAGCGCTGGAAAAAGGTAAGTTTTACCCCTTTTCCCCTTTCCAGAGCCGGGCGGGAAGGGGTTCCTGAGGGTGGGGGCACCCTCAGGGCACTATAGTGCCAGGAAAACGAGTATGTTTTCCTGGCAATATAGTGGTCCTTTAATTTTTTTTTTTTTTAATTATGCCATGAGCATCTGTAAAATAATTTCTGCATCCCTGAAAAACACACTTTTAAAATTAAAGAGAGAATAATCTACATAGTGTTTCATGGCCCCTACTAACTAGAGACTATATTATATTATCAAATGGGGAAGCACTGGAAGAGGTAACAACAACGTTTGACACACCAAACATACAAATGAACACCAAAGTGTTTAGGGATCAGTGTGGATTTATAAATCAGGCCTGTTTTTTTAAGACTGTATGTAAGAGGTGCTAATTTAATTAATAATGTAAGTCTGGCATCCAAAAACAAACAAACAAAATGAAAAAAGTTATTGTTTACAAAAACAAAAAAATAATCTTTTCGGTGCTACTTTGTAGAATGGCTTAACAAGACAACCTATTTTGTGAGGACAACTAGTGATCTTCCCTATGATGCAGGTGCATAATTAAAGGGTTACTCCAACCAATATGACCGCTTCAGCTTTTAGAAGAGATCATGGTGGTAGGAAACTATATGTGCAGCATTTCGGCTTAATCTTTGCACTTTTGTGCTGGTGGCTAGCTGCATTTGTGGTGCATATGACTTAGGGAGCCTGGAACTCGGTGGGATTCCTGTGGTGTGGTATTGCTCTCCTCCGACGTCAGCAATAGAGGAAACCTACTGTGCTGGATGTCCTCAGGCTCAAGCCTCGTTTCACAGAGTTAAACTCCATGAAACTGCAGGAAGTGCTTCTAGTGGCTGCATGGCGCATTTAATGGGAAACGGGTTAAAAAAAAAAAAAAAAAAACATTTTTAAAGGGGTGGGGAATTAATTAATTGTTGGGGTGAGGAAGCATTTACTACATTTTGCTAAAATATTTCTTACGCCTAAAAATCGTACCTTTTCATTAGCTGCAAAACTACCCTCCACAGCTAATGAAGATCCATAACCTTTTTGCCTAGAACGCACTTCCTTGTCCAATCAAATGCTTCTCATAGAGATGGCTGATTTATTGAGCTATTCAGGTATTTATATTCAAAATCATTAAAAAAAATATATCATACTTAAGGGCTGTAGTAATTCAAGCACCATTAAAATGGTGGCTGTTTTTAGAAAGCAGAAGCAAAGGCTACCATACAGTGCACATACAGGACATCATGCATGTATCCATAATTAATCAGTCTTAGACAGAATTGGACCAACAGTGTTATTTACGAATGCGACAATTTTCAGGAATTTAAAATTGTATTAACACATTTCTGCTGTTCTAGTATTTATTAGAAGTAGTGCTAACAATGGCCTGTTCACGTATTCTATACTGAATCAAAATATGTGGCAAAGGTCAGATAACAGTTGTTGAAATAAGTAGGTTCTAACAGGTTATCATATATTCTTACTTGCTCACATGGGGTGATATTTGATAACTAAGACCACCCTTTGTGCAGACAACTAGAACCAATACGGCTAGTAGATTGTATTGGTAATTATGGATATTTAGTACATACAATTGCAATCAAAATGATTCATCCCCAATTGAAAACCATGTTTATTGTCAAGATTTACA